GGGGTGGAGATTGGGGAGGTCCTCGGCGCGGAGGACTTTGGAGGGGGGAGGGAGGTCGGAGGGGGGTCGGCGGGGGCCGATTGGGGGGAGGGCGGAACATGATGTGAGGAAGAGGAGGAGTAGGGGGAGGAGGTGGAGGAGAGAGGTGAGCATTTTGCAGCTCTGCGCTTGCGCGCGCGCGCTCGCTGGTATGGTGAAGATGTAAGTTGTGATTCGGGCGGTCGTGGTGGCGGAATAGGGTGGTGGTGTTAGTTGGTAAGAGAGGTGGTATTCGATCGGGGAGGGGCGCGTCGAGGGATCATCGTCTTCGGTGCGCTGGTCTGGTCTGATGTTGATGCTGATGTCGCAAAAAGTTCAAAAGCATCACCCCGCGATGATGCTTTTGTTCCCGGGTGACATAACTCCCCCTCGTGCGTGCGTGCGTGCGGCTTTTTTCCCACCTGGCAGGGAGGCAAGCGGGGGGATGAGATCGATCGCAGGAAGGAGAAAGAAAAACGAAAGGGTGGTGGGTTATTTCCTCTCGGAAGAATACAGCACGCGCGTATCTTCGCTTCCCGTCCCACAGTCCCGGTAGTGCTTGTCTAGGTGCCCGTGTATTCTTCCACCAGCCCCTAACTCGCTGCGATCGGGCAGAGTGTAGTGAGCGACAGACAGAAAAACGGCTTTGGCTGTCGACGGGGAATAAGCAATCAAGTGCCAGACCAACAGACACGGAGAAGGGGGGTGGTATGCCGCAGCCGCCAAGGGGGGGCATCTTTGACAGAGGTCCAGACAGTTCGTTCTCTCTCAATGAGCTCCCGACGGCAGGTATCCAATATCCAGCCATGGCTTGGCCCCGGGCCCGGCAATAACCCTGATCCAGTGGCCGCCCGTGGGAGCGACTTTATCCGATCCGGGGCAAGGGCTGCAATAAACACGAGGATATTGGAATGCTGCAGCAGTCGCGGGTAAATGCGAATCGAGCGACTCCCGCAACCAGGCGATCCGCTAACAAGGCGCTGGCGATGCTCCGAAGTCTCTACTCGAAAACCGTCTCCTCCGCTGATCAACAACCACTTGCTCGGTAAGATCAGCTCAGAGTAGCACTCGGTAGGGGGGGCCGATCTGTAACCTCGTCAACTGCAACTTTCTCACCAACCAACACTCTGAAACAGACGCCAGCTCTGCCTACCGACATGCCCTACCCCTCCCCATATATGCACCTGTCGCTGCAAACTCTCACCCTCCGACAGTTCGCATCTAGCCGCCCTCCAGAATCCCATCTGCTGCAGCACCGCTCCCATTGCGAGCCTTGGCATGCAATCCATCCTCTCGTCAGGCTCCCTCGGGATTCGCCTGAGAAACAAAACTGCAGTGGAAGAAATGAATGACAAACATTATCACCATCCTCTGTAGATATCCCAACAAAAAGCCTAAACCCCCCTCGGCACCGACGCGACTCTCACTCTACCGATTGGGCACTCCCCCAGGGGTGGCAAGTTGAAACAGCAAGCAAGCAAATACCGTTTTTGCCCCCCATTGGGCCAAGCCCCCAACCCAGCGATCGAATTTGCGGGGGAAGGAAAGGCATCCAAGACCTGGAGTGCCGCGCGCACCCTGGTTAGTGCTGTGCAGGGAAAGCAAGGTGATTCGACACATGAGGAAGGGTGCCCGTTGGGGATACATTGCCAAGATGGAGGGACACTCTCGACCGGGCCGCCTGATGTGTGTGACAGGCTGGCAGGTGGGTTGCTGAATACCGAGGCGTGTTAAGGTGTGCGTGTGGGCTTGGCGTCATTTTGGGTGAATTTGGGGCTTGGCGGGGGGCTAACCGACTTAGGCTGGGGGACTGGGAGAGGAAGAGCATGTGCTTTGTGATGGTTTTGGTTGTTGATTTGGGGAACTGGGAAAAGAACAATGAGATTGTTGATAGACTACAACTCGCGTAGTTACATGGGTGACTTCTCTCAACCCATGTGTTGAGCCATGGTGCGAATCCAACCTCAGGATGGATGGCCCCTGGCATTGTGCCACTTCGCGATCGAGAACTTCAATCCGCCAAGGAAAGCCTTCGACAGCGAAGAGAACAGGATGAGAGCGAAAGGGAAGGAGAAGTGGAAGGGGAAAAGAAGGACAGTGAGACAGGAACAAATGAGAGAGACAAACGGCTACCCAAGACAACCTCACCTACTATCACGTTCCTCCCACTGAACCCCCTAACTCCTCAATCTCAACACCATCTTCAAGCTCTTCACCGGCTCCTCTGTCTCCTCCCTCTTAATCTCTCTGCTCGCCTCCCTCTCCTCTTCACGCCTCAAACAATCAGGCGTCCACTCCCCCAGCAACTTCCCCATCCACCCATCCAACACCGCCTCCACATCCTCTTCCACCTTCACTCCTTCCCCCCCACCAACCTTCAGCCCCTCCACAACCCCCAACTCCAATCTCCTCGTCTTTAACCCCCTAACCAGCGGCGCCCACTCCCTCCGCCACTCACTCCCCCACTCCGGCTCCGGCCTCTCATCCGCGTAAAACGTCCCCGGCGTGCCAAGCTGTACTTTAAAACTATCTAAGTCCATCCTCTCCGAGATAATCTCAATCACATCCGCGAGATTCTTCGTCCCGGATTTCCCAAAGGGGAGGATGGGGTGGATTTCCAAGTTCAGAACGACGTTGCGGATCAAAGGGAGGATAGCGGGGCGTTCAGTTGCAAGGGAGAGGAAAGTCTCAGGGCCGTCGAATTCAACGGTGGAACCGTGCCAGAGGGTGGTTCCCAGCTCGGTGGTGATGAAGGGGTTGACCTGGGCGAGGCGGCGGAGGTTGTGGTAGGCTGCGGGGTTGCGGTGGGAGCAGGTGGCGCAGGCCCAGAGGTCTTCGAAGTCCAGGGTGTGGAAGAGGTTGGAAGGGCGGTTGTGGACGGGGCAGTCGGGGGAGGTGAGGGTGCGGCTGTAGATGGCGACGTAGCAGCGGGGGGTCCAGATGAGGAGGGCGCGGTTGCGCTTGGCGGCGAGTTTGTTGGCTTTGGCGATGTATTCTCTGTCGTAGTCGCTGTCATGGTAGGTGGGGTCGGCGTCGTCGTTGTCCGAGTCGGGGAAGTCGTCGTTGGGTAGCCGAGTGCTGTCGATGTCGGCGTCTTCGTCTTTGTCGCTGCCTTCGGAGGAGTCTTCTTCAGAAGAGGAGGAGGAGGAGGAGGAAGAGGAGGAGGGGGAGGAAGAGGAGGGGACGTATTCTTCCTCTTCGGATTCATCTGAGGAGTCGATGACCATGACTTCTTGCTTGGCAGGCTTGCTCGGTGCCTTTTTGGTGGGTTTGGTGACGGCCGCCTTTTTCTTTGATACGGACGGCTTCACCTCTTCGACCTCGCTGTCGTCGTCTTCGATGTTGACAACTTGAGCGGACGGGGACTTTCGCTTCAAGTCCACCGCAATCTCCGCCTCATCGCTGTCCCATTCGCTTTCCTCGTCCCCGGCGTCACTCATACTCGCGTCCTCCTCGGATGACCATTGGTGGTCATCCTCCTTCAACCGCCTCCAATTTTCCGGCAACGCCTTCTCTTCATCGCTGTCGAGCCTGCCTTCCCGGATGGCCTTGTACATCTCCAAGACGTTCAACGGTTGCCCGGTCCGTGGATCAACGTTGCGTGCATCGGGCGCACCTTCAACAAGCATAGGCTCGACGGGCCCGTTGTCGTCCTGATAATCAGGGTCGAATGTCTTGTCAAAGACATAGAGGTGAAGGCTTGGTCCGGTGTACTTGGCAGGGGGGCCAGAGTCGGTGCTCACGACGCGGCGAGCAGGAGCACTGCCCTTGACGTTGTCGCGGAGCTCGTCTACAAAGCAGGCGTAGATTTTTTTGCGGATTTCGATGGGAAGTTTCATGAAGGGGAACGTGGAGGGGCTGAAAGGCAAGCATTAGACTCAAACTCAGAATTTTCGTAAAGGCTGAGTCGCTCACATTGTGGTCGGCTTCAGGGGAGGAGCGGCTGCGGCTGCGGCGGCCTTCCAAGTGGTTCTATTACGGCGGTGCACATCATGACCTTCGTCGTCGACGGGTGCAAAATGAAACGTGCCAAATCCGCGGGTGTAGCTGAGGGAGTCCTGCTCCTCAACGTCGATAGAGGCGGGCATTTTTGGCTTGGTTTTGAGGTCGAGCGCACAAAACTCAGCTGGTCGAGACAGATGCTGAACTCAATTGGAAGTCTCACGACTCAGCTTTTCTGTCGTCCCTTTGAAGAATTGAGACGACGTCGACTGGCGAAACTTTGGCCAGACAATCTTCTGACGGCCGCCTTTTAAAGCATCACCGCATCTAAGATAATCCGAAGTCAGATCCTTATCACGGTCTTCGCGTGGCACACCCCCGGAGACCTGCCATGTCCGTGATGTTGGTCTTGTTGTTTTGCGTCGGTTCCGCATTTTGCCTCACATTTTTGGCGAAAGGCGGCCTGGAAGGCAGACAGTGGCGTGAGTCACCAACCAAATGGCGGCCATTTGTGCGCTGCGATTGGAAGGTGCGAGGTGAAGCGCAGGGCGGGATAGGCACCAGTGCGGCACAGCATATGCCTTCAGCCAGACATCGAGCGAGTTGAGAATAGCCGGAGTGTAGAGTCCGACGTGATGACATTCACTGATGTGGTACGGGTTGCCGCATTCGACGTAGAGCCTATACAAGTAGGATCGAAATGTCCGCTCGGCTCAAGTAGGTTGGTTTTTCCCCTCGCAATGTACCTGTTGTGTCTCGATCGTTATTCGCATCGCTAATTCTGTTAGTGTGTGCACGCTAATTGCCAGGCTTGGGCCAGGGCAACATACCAGGAGGCAAGAGATGTCGTTGCTGAGAGTTAATCTGGGGTCCGCTGCTGTCAGAAGAGGTCGCGCACTTCAAGCAGCCATCCTTGTGGAACCACACTGCTGACTCCGCAATGATCCTCCATCCCTCCAATACCCCCAAACTCCACCTGGGCCCATCCCACAAACTCAGAGTCAAGAGTGAAACTCAAACAACCACAAACATCACAACAAGGTCTGGTGGTCTAGTGGTATGATTCTCGCTTAGGGTAAACCTGAGTAAATATGCGAGAGGTCCCGGGTTCAATCCCCGGCCAGACCCCAATGGCTGGTCACTCTGTGGTCGCGCTTCTTTTTGCGTCAACCACCTCTTCAGCCCTGGTAAGACTGTCTGGGTTTTGCGAGAGAGCCGTGAGCCTATAGGGGCTTGAGTTGGTGACAATTTTGCCCAACCTCGGGGTTGACATCTCGGGATGCGGGCAGCAAGACGGCGCCAAGAAGACAATCTCATCCAGATCGAAGACAGGCTCGACTTTTTTTTTTGCGTCGTGGGTTATGTTGATGGGCTCGAAGCTGAACGTTGGCTCTTCAAGCCAAGGGCAGCTGAACTCCGAACGATGCGTGCCGCCCTCTTTCTCTTGGCCCCAAAGCGGTGCCCTGACTCAGCAGTCTGACAGTGATCGACTGCCAATACCAATTCGGCATTATCCCGAACCCGGTGAGGTGAACTTCAAGCCCTAAATGCGACTCTCTAGCTGAAGCGCCAATGAGCTCGACGCATTGCCCGTTGTCAGCCCGGGCGTTCTTTTGGCCGCGCCACAGAAGCGCTTGGATGCAGGTCTCGGGAGGGAGCGAAGCGGGTCTTTGTCTGCCAACGTCGCAACCATCGGCCGCCACAACGATCAACATCATAAAATTCTTGTTGACGTTGCGATGCTCCTCAACTGCGCACAGGCCCACGAAAAGATGCAAATCCGATTCCAGTCGTGCGCCCTCGCAGGAAAGATCGGGACTTGTTTGCCGGTCCTGTCGACGGGTGCATCTCATCGCGATGCACGATGCAGCCTCTCGGGGCCCAGACCGTCCCATATGATGCCGGTCAGCGTGAGTGGCGTTTTGGGGCCGTTGTGATTGAGCCGTGCTTTGGCGATGGTGGCTTGGTGGCGCTGCAGACATCCTGGCCGGCCAGGTTCGAAAAGCGTTGGTGCCGCCCTGCCATGGGCTGACCCGTGCCATTGATGCAGCCCCGTGCAGCTTTCGCGCAGCCTTCGGACGGGGCGGGGGCCCCGAGTGTGGGCGGGATTGGATGGGGAACGGCCAGCCCAGCACGGCGCTCAGGCGCTCAGGCACCCGTTGAGCGCCCCCCTCGTCTTGGTCTCCGAAAACAGGAATCGCTCCGGCGCACGACGTCGGGGACGGTGTCGGCCACGTTGTTGAACCCGGAGAAGTTTTGCGGACGTCTACAGGGCTTTCGCAGTGGACGCACTCATGCTTTTGACTACCTGGAAGTACGACAACCTGGGACCTTGGGTGCCATCGCGCCCGCAAGGGACGGGGCGTGGCTCGCGTGCGAGCGGGCGTGGAGCGTGGAGCGTTGCGGCAGGCGGGACGGAGACGCACCTGCCAGTTGGCGTCCCAGCAGTCGGACGAATGACGCGAGCGAAAAAGAGCACCAAGCGACAAAAAGGAAAGAAAATTGACCACTCAGGCGGCAGACGCTGCAGCGACTTGCAGAACCTGCACCACCGGCCTGATCTTGGGGTCGACTAAAGACAGCTGGAGAGAGGGTTGCCAAGCGGCCGCATATCGCGCGATGCCTATTCAGGGCACACAGCCACAGCACAGCTTTCCCACAACCCAGGTCCCCAAGTGGTCCCATTCAGCTAGATCGAGCAACGACTGCGCCCAAGAAAGACCGCTCCGTCTCCCACAAACCTCCCTCTCTGCAGTCTTTCAGCTGCAGAGCCTGGCTCCGTCGCAAACAAACAATGGCCGCGACGCAATCGCCAGCGCCGTCGTCGTCGTCGTCCTCTTCGTCGTCATTTGCCTCTCGAAGACCACTCGCCCGCGCCGCACTTCCCCCGTTTACCCTTCCCCCGCCCCCGGAGTTCCCGCGGCCCACAGCGGGAAGCGCTAGCTCCAGCACCGCGGGGAGCGCTCTGAGCCCACCCACGCCCACACAGCAACAGCAGCAACCACCGTCCTCCGGATCACCCTACTCCACCACCAGCAGTCCCGGGTACGCATCGCGGGCCTCATCCACATCCGCCAGCATGCTCGCGCACCCGCAACGAGCGAGTTCCCACTCGCCCTACGACCCCCGCTCCCGCCCCAGTCCGCTAAGTCATCCCCTCAACGGCGGTCCGGGCATCAGCACCGCTGCGATCCAGCTCTCCCCCCGAAAGCCCCTCCCCGGATCCTCAGGGTCCCAATCGCGGACCTCGCCCCCTTCCCGCTTCACCGAGAAACTCCCCTCCATCGCCAGTCTCATTCCCCCTCCCTCCACCTATGGCGCCCCGCCACCGCGGTCTCCCAACCAAGGATCCGCCACCGGGCTCCCCGCCCCGGGGTACCTCGCCATGCCGCCCGTCAAGGGACCGTGGGGCCTCGGTCCGCCGCCGGCATCCAATCCGCGGTACTACCATGAATTCTCCGTCCCGGAGTACCCTATCGCGCGAGAGACGTCGCAGCAGGACAGGCCATTCCGATGTGATTTGTGCACGCAGTGTTTTAGTCGGAATCATGATTTGAAGCGGCATAAGCGGATTCACATGGCGGCGAAGCCGTTTCCTTGTCCGACTTGCAATAAGAGCTTTTCGAGGAGGGATGCTTTGAAGGTAAATATTATATGGTTAGGGGGGAAGGAGACAGTTGCTAACGGGGAACAGAGGCATCGGCTGGTCAAGGCGTGCTATAAGAAGGCGGACTTGAAGGAGGGCGAGGTGGGGCCATCGAGGGGGTCTGAGTCGCCGGATGGAGAGCCGGAGTATACGACGGCGGACTGGAAGCCTCCAGGGGCGGAGCTTGAGAAGGTTGGTGATGTGCTTTTGATTTTGTTTGGCTTGTCGTTTCGAGGCCTATTCTAACGAGGGATGCTACAGGCAAGTGCGAAGAGAAATGGAAAGGAGAAGGAAGAGGGGGCAGACGCGGCAGACAAGACCGACGACGCTGAACAGGAGGTCGAGGCGGAGAAGCCCAACTCGCCCCCTCGAGAAGAAGAGATGAAAGATGCTGAGCCGGGGCCCTGACACTATCTGCGGGAATGTGAACTGGCAGCTCGGATCGTCGTCGTCTGAGGGATGGGAAGGAAACCCGAGGCTCGACGACCGGGCCTCGATTCGTCTTTCGAGCAGATGGAAGACCTGGATAACTTCACGGGGACCATTTGGACGATTCGATGCCGCCATTCCACCTGCGACGAGGAGAGAGGTCAACACTACAGACGACACCGACTACGGATGGAAGACACTGGCGAACTTCTCTCGGGTTGTTTTGGATAGGCGTGTTTGGCAAAAGGGAGTGGGAGTGATGGCTGGGAAGCGAAGGAGCAAGGTCATTCCACGTGGCGTTTTGGACTTTGGTGCGGCATAAGCATTTTTATTGCCTGGGATTGGCGGTGTATCTCTTGTCTTATTTATGTACCAGGGGACGAAATCATGAGACGACCATTCCATCACAGAGCCAAGCATCTGGCTGACTTGAGCCGTCTCCAAGAGTCCAAGACACTCAACATCCCGCGGTGGAGCTGCTCCACCATCTGCACCCAACCCACCGGGTCATCCCATCCCATCAACTGGCTCGGTTCCATTCCCGAAACCATCCATCGGCATACCTGCAACAAAGTCTTCCCCTTATCCACTCTGCCCTCCCGCCCTGGGCATATAACCCCCTTTCCCACACAATTTCCAACAATCGGATATGGTGTAGTGTTTAACATCGCTGGCTCTCAGTTTTGAGTTCTCAGCAGCCCGGGGTTTGATTCCCCGTTTCCGAGGTTTGGCGGCATGATCGAACTACAGTGGATGGTCAACATTCACACATCTTCCGTAGTTGGTATGTGAGCATGTCGCCTCTTTGAGAGGATTTCGCTCGAGACCCGGGTTCAATTCCCGGCGGGAGAGCCGCCTATTTTTGCCGGGTTGTGATACTGTGGGAGATGGTTGGTGGTGATGGTGACGATGGCGGTGAGGGCGATGGTGGCGCCGAGAGTGGTGATAATTTCTTTGTCTGGACGGACGGGAGGTTGTTCTGGCTTTTTTTTTTTTTTTTTTTTGGCCTGGCGCAAACCCTTTGTTGATCATAAAGATGTGTTGGTTTTGGGACAATATTTTCAGGCGGCAGGGCCTTTATCAGGGAGGAGAATCACAATGTCACCGTACGAGCCACGCGGTGAAGAATTCCATAAAAATCCGGTATGTGCTGGTCTTATGGGGAAGAACCAAGTTACTACCTCATCTATCCTCGAGCGTTGTTTTGCAATTTCTTGAGTCCTTCACATCACATACCACAACTAACAAACGCAACGTGAAACAAGATGGGTATGCAGGATGCCCTCGGACTCTTGGACGACAGCTCCACGAAGCTGGCTCGTCTCGGTCTTGTGTTTGAACTGAACACCCTAGTGACAACCAACGAGAACGGAGACCTTATCCCCCGTGAGCGCACCGCAGACATCATCAAGTACCTCCTCGACAACCAAATCACCTTTGTGGTCTTTCACAATAGTGTCAAGATCTCGGAGAAGCTGCTGGCCCTTCACCTCAACAACGCCCTGGGCCTCCCCGGGGACTTCCAGATTCCCTTCTCCAACTTCCTCGTCGCCACCTCCCCCCTCCGCACCGCCATAGGCTGCAACGCCCACAACCCCGATGAAGAGAAAGTCGTCCTCGTCATTGGCGGCTCCGGCGAGCAACCACGCCGTCTCGCCCACGACTACGGCTACCCCTTCGTCTTCACCACCGCCGACGTCACCCGCTGCTACGACCAGTTCTTCTCGTACCATAATCCCGCCCACGATCCCCCCGAGGACGCACCCCTCGACCCGTACTGGCGCATGCGCAAGCGCAACAAGCACGTCAAGGTCGCCGGTATTCTCGTCTTCTGGGAGCCCGAGAACTGGGAGCTCGACGTCGAAGTCATTCTCCACATCTTCCTCAACTGCGGCCGTCTAGGCTACAACTGCGCCGCTGACAACGAGGCCTTGACACCCGGGAAGCTGGCCAACAAGATCGCGAAGAACATGCCGCCGTTGCATATCTGCCTGGCGGATATTGCAAAGAATCCTTCCGCTTCCGCCGACGCCGCTGCGACCTCGCCTGTCCGTTCGTGGCTTCGGTTCCTCCGAGAGAGCTGGACCGAGAAGACAAAAAACAGGCCCTGGTTGCGGCACACGCTTCACGGGCCTGAAGCGGGCCATTCGCTCCTTCGCGCTGTCGAGTGGACGTTGAATAACTCTGATCGTCGGACGTATGCCAAGATGGTAAGTAAAGACGAGGACGAGATTGACATTCCCAAGATCAAATCTGTGTACACCATCGGGCTTTCGCTCGAGGGGAAGTACGCTCCTCAGTCGAGCGCAAAGTGGGGGGATATTGTCCTCAAGGGGCAACAAGAACCCGCTGAGCCGCGAAAGCTGGGGGTGAAGAAGCACGAGCCGGAGTTTGTGGCGAGTGATCTCGTCGAGGCGGTAGAGTACGGACTGGTGCAGGCGTATTGGCGGGCAGTCGATAACGGGCTGGAGCCCATGTGGCCTGCGCCGAAGGAGCCGAGGCCTGTGGTTGAAGAGCAGCCTAGGCTGGAAGAGCGGCCCACGGTCGCTAAGAGGGTGGAGCAGATGGAGGCTGAGGAACCCCCAGCGAGGGAGATGGGGGAGGAAAAAGCGTGGATGGGGGCGTTCAGTGGGTGGCTTGGGGGGATCATATGCTGTGGAGGGACGAGGTAATCTCTCGTAGCAGGTGGTTCGCAGGGGCTGCTGATAGTCGACGCTGGGGATGAATGAATAAAGAATATTTTCGCTCAAAGAAATACTGTGTTATCTTGTGATTGTCTTGATTTGAATGCGATTGATCAATGCCCTGTGCTTTGTCTGAAAGGGATGGTTGAGGAACACTCGGGTGCTGAGTGTTGGAAAAATCGAGAATGCAGCGCCGGGCAGCTGTCGACTGGCCGCTGATTCTGGAAGGGACGATGAATTTCTGCCTGAGGCCGCAGCGTATTGGTGGTTAATCTAGCCGAGATTCGGAAGCTGCGGGTCTCCGTACACCACCGAAGCGCAACAGGATCCTCTGCACACTACCATTGAGCGGTACATTGGTTCTGTCACGAGCTATGCGGAGACAGTCTGTGACGACACCGTGTGGTCTGATGACGAGAAAAATTCCGACGAACAGACTGCGGGTCCTACCAGAGGGCCGACCACAGCCCCCAGAAGGGATGCTCCCACAGTGCCCAAAGCAGAGCAACCAGCCGATGACCCTGAACCTCATCAACTCCCTCAGGATTGCTCTAGCTCGTCTCTGAAGAATTGGCTTGCAAAGAACTGGCTCAAGAGAAAGTCCGAGCCCAGGAACTCCCTCCCGCTGTTCGAGTCACACACTGGAATCGGGCATCGGCACAAAACCGTTCACGAACCGCCCGTGATGGAAGTTAAAGGTCAGTGTGGTGTTTTCGTACCGCATAGTGACACTTGCATCTTTGCATCCGATGGGAAGATTGACCTTTATACTGTATCAACGGCATTCCTCTGGAAAACGCATATCATTCCTGATTATGCTGCTGCGATGAGTCAAAAACCACCCACAATATCTCCTGGAGGCAGTCAGATTACTCTCATTATTGACAACGGCGGTGCTGTCTACGTCAATACCATCCCCTCATTCAACTCACCTCGAATCATCCACACCCGTGACATTATTCGAGACGTCACGCATATTCATAACCGAAATGGTGGCATTCTCTCCGAACAACAAGACCATGGCCGTCCTGTCCAGGGACATGGTCGCAATTTGCTACAAGAAAGAGGAAATCGGCTTTTTGGCAGGCAGCAAATGGAATGTAGTTTACAACCCTCTTCCGACCAAGTATTTTGGAGGCTTCGGGGCGCTTCATGACGCGGCATTCAGTCCCTGTGGCAAGAAGTTGGTAATTTGCGGGTTCATAGGCCCCTCTGGCGTTGGCTATTACACCGGCATGGGATCCTGGGTGTGAAATTTAGAAGGAGAATGGTATCCTTCGCTGGAATGGAAATATGAGCCGAGCAGCTATTGGGAAGACGGCGATGTGCGCCTTTACCCCTGGGGTAACGATCTGGCCGTGCTAACCCGCAGCAAACATCATGACAACGAGTTGTGGTTTGCGTACAATGCAACATCGGGGAAACGAATGTGGGGGCCGCGAAATGGAGACATTACCACTATCTCGTGGGGAGGCAAGTGCAGATTCGAACATGGGCGGGCGACATTCCGTTGGACAGCTCAGACAAGCCAGGGACAAGATCTCTTCGCTTTGTGCAAGACCAAAGGCCAGGTAAAGATGTGCCACAGAGACGCAAAGGGTCCGGTCTGTGGAAGTCATTTTGACCAGGGTGATTCGCAGTCGTATGAGTGTCCCCATATATCCTCAAACTTGCAATACGTCTTGATCAGGGTCGCGGGGACAGAGAGACACTTGATCTGGAAGCGGTGTGAGTAAAGATGGCTATAGAATTGTCAGTTCTGTTTGCTACTTCAGTGCAATTTATTTCAGCTGCCACAGCCGCTGACGACACATGATGCTGTACCTTGTCTATCCAAGGCTGCCGCATCTCACACCCGATCAATGAGAATATTGTCCTTCAGTTCACAAAAATGGGGCTAAACATCTTCACTCGGTTCAAGGGTCAACGTCTTTTATCAACATCTATCAATTTACATCACTCCCACCTGCATCATCTCTTCCCACCCCCCCTAACTCCCGTCAGGCTGCAACCCCAAAACTAACAACGGCCTCCTCTCCTCCTGCACCCACCAACACCCGCCCTTCTCCTTCCTCAAAATATTCGCCCTTGCCTCCACCATATTATGCGGCTGGCTAGCCGTGCTCGGCCTGTAGCTAAAAAACTCCCAATAGATATCCTGCCCAAACATGGCATTGCCTGTCTGGAAGTCCAGCGTCTCCTTGAGTAGAAACAACAGCTCCTTCTCGCCCTCGGACCACTCCGCGCCTTCGCGGTAGTGAGTTTTGTTTTGGTGGTGGAGCTCCGCGATGCGATGGCGCAGTGTGGGGTTGAGAGAGGAGAGGTCGACTTTGTGGCCTTTGGGGGTGCGGCTGGTTTTCTTGGCGAGGTTCCAGGTGGCGGCGGTGCCTTGGTTGGGATTGATGGCGTGGAAGTGAGACAGGGGGAGGCGGTTGGGGATAGTGGAGGCGCCGGAGGAGGGAGAGGGAGGGACGGGCTCGGTTTCGGCGTCAGAGACGGAGTCTGTGGGTGACGACGAGGGGGAGGGCCGGGCTCTTTTTCTGGAGTGGCTGGTGTTGTGGTTGTCTTGGGTGAAGTTGTCGTAGTAGTGGTTTGGGGCGCGGAGACGGGGGGTTTCGTATCGCGGTTGACTGTGACTAACTTGCGCCGTATGATTGTGGCAGTTTGAAGGAGGCGGCGGGCTGGGGTATCGCGGCTCTTCGGCTTGGGGAGCTGACTCCTCGCTAGCGGTATCTTCTGTATGAGAAGGGCCCACCACGGATACCGTTAGCGTTTCGGTCTCATATGGACCTGAGTTCGAGTTGTAGCCATCGTTGACATCCATCTGTTGATGATCCACGGGCGCGGCCTCGCCCTCACCCTCACCCTCGGTGGTCAAGGCGCGAGCGGCGTAGACCTGGGCGCCGAATTCACGCTCAGAGGCAACGCTATAGTAACAATTTTCATTGTGGCAGTTCCAATCTTCCATGAGGTGTCGCTCAAGGGGTCGCTTGACGAGAAGACGCTCAAGGCAATCTTGGCCGGCAGGACATGGGAATTCC